CCAGAGGACTCAGTTTACTCAGAATATTTTTATATCCAGAGGACTCAATTTACACAGAAATACAAAAATTAATTGTATGGCAGAATTCTCACTTGGATTTAGCAGAACTGAAAAACAAAAATATAACTAGCTAACGATGAACAGAACAGATTCTATTATAAGCACATATAATAGAACCTCTGATAGCTAGGAGAAAACTTTCCCATACTTTTATATGATTTCTGGTTGCCTAAGAGCCAAATTACTACCAAGATCTATAACTTAACATGTGCCCCCAAAATTATTTGCACCTCTTTTTTTCCCTCCTGGAAAGGGCACATTCTGATTTGTCTTTGTTTCTCGGCGTTTGCTCTTCATCTCCCATCTACTGGGGACCAGGCTTCAATATTATTTTCCCGCTTTGTGTCCACTTGTGTTCATGAGGAGACGCACCCTGAGAGCGCTGAGGGACCGCATATGCTTGCTTATGAAGAGGGGGCGGTGGAGGGGTTATAGATAATTCGGTCCCATTAACAACATGAGCCCACGGGACTCAGCCGTGGGTTCCCTAGAGCGGGCTAGTGTGTTCCTGCAACCTCAGTCGTCTCCATCTCCTTCCTGTCGCATGCCATCAACCCCCAGTTGCGCCTTGTGTCTGTGGGATGCCCCCTCTAGAATAGCATCGCCAGCAAAGACGGGTAACCACGTTGTGTTTTCGGTCCGCAGACGTCCCGAATCCTCCCTTTGATTTAGAATTGACAAATCACCTCGACAAAGGTGTGCAGCTCTCGTGGACACCAGGCGATGACAACAACAGCCCGATTACAAGTACGTGGCCTTGGGGGTGGGCCTGGCACACGTCATGGCCATTTTGAAAAGAAATATGTGCAGTGCAACTCAAATGCCTTACAGAGCTATTTGCCGACATTTTCTCTACTGAAAGGACAAAGGGGTTTCTGTTGATTGATGGATGCTCTTCTCTTCAGAGTGAGGGGTGGGTTTGTTGTTTGTTTGTTGTGTTTACAGTTTAGGGCATGTTGCACTAATTAATTGCTGACAATGTTGACTACACAGATATAATTTTGTTTGGTGTTTAAGCTCCATAAGCATCACCTCAGCTTTCCATCATAGCCAGGAGATGAATCATAAGTTATTCATTTTTCCCATTACCCTGGAGAAAAATGGGAGACGGGAGTGCTGTCATTCCCAGTTTATATCTGAGGAGATTCAGAACGGTGGGTAAAGTGGCATTTCCATTCCAGAGTTGGGGACAGACAGGGTGAAGATGTCAGATTCATTAACAAAATGGCGCAGAGTCAATTCCTCGACTTCATGGTGTAACCCTCGGAAATAAAGCAGGTGGCAGACAGGCAGGAAGGGCCCAGAAAGACCTTGCATGTGTTGACGCTAGGTCATGGTAGAGTTTTCTTTGTGAAAGGGAAAGATTCTTGGAGCGTAGACACAGTCAAGCCAAAGGCCTGAGGACAGTGTCACCTTCTGGTAAAAACTGCAGGAGATTAAATATCTCTCTGCAGACTCCCCAACAATGCTCTCAAGTGAGTCACGTGTTGACTAATGGCACCTCTAGGAAAGCAGTGTTTGCAGTCACGTTAAGCAAAGCTTCCTGTGTGCCTTGTTTCAGTCAGTGGTTCTCCTTTCTCATGGGCTGCGTCCTGGATCAGAACCCTCCTTCAACCATCCTGAGACTTCCTGCGTCCTCACAGTGGCCAGCTGTGGCCGGCTGCCAGCAATGCTCAGAGAAACATTGTACCTTTCTTAAAGCAGTGCCATGGGATTTCAAAGCATTTGCACGCACTCATTCATTTGGTTATCTGTCCAGCAATAAAAGGTCACTCTGAGTCAGAATTAGGGGCAGTGGGTTTTGTTGTAAATATGTGCCAGGGAAAGTTCTAAAGCAAAACAATTAAAAGCAAACAAACAACCTCTGCCCTTATGAAGCCATATTTTTTATTTGGACACAAATAAGGTAAAGTTAATAGTGGATTATGTTATGAGTAATGTTATCAAATGTATGTATATCGACAAGGGTAAGT